TGTGCCTGCTTTTTGGTCGCGGCCGCAAGCAGAGGGCAGGCGGCGAGAGGGGGTCCGGGGCACGGGCCAGCCTAATTAGCTACTAGGCGACACGCAAGCCGGCCGGGCCAGCACTCAGAAGCGGCGGCTGAGGTGCAGCAGCGGCTGGTGGAACTGGATGGCTGGTCTGCAACGCCCAGGGAAGCTGATGCAACTTGCATACCTGAGGCAGAGGTGCCAGAGGTGGAATTAGGAACTGCACGCCAAACCCTGGGCCTACGCCCTTTCCGGGAAAAAACAACTCGCGCTCTTCAAAGGCGCCTCATCAGCTCATGACGCACTTCGCGAGGCGCGAAGCGCAAACCACCTCGCGCTCTCGCGCCGCCACCGTGGGGGAGAGGATGAGGACGAGGAGGCATCGGAGCCGCAGCGCGCAGCGCGAATACCTCCGCGCCTTCGAGGGCGCCCTCTCGCAGCCTTTTTTTCGCGGCGGCCAAGTGAGAAGGCGAGGGCCTTCTCAGAAGGCTCGGAAGTCCTCCGGCGTTCCGAAAAGTTCTCTGAGCCTTCCCCAGGGACACTAACAAAAAATGATCGACCCACGAACACGGAAAATAATATAGAAATGTAAGACATGGCAACGTTTCAAAGACGCTTGATTGGGCGACGGGCAAATGCAATGCTTAGTGTATCGATCTTGATGTACTGTGCCGAGGGCTGTGCTCTGCTGTGCCGTGCTGAATTGCGATGTGCCACGTGACGATTGTGCTCTATAGCGTTGTGGATCGAGTCCTCCTTTGCAGCCGAGTCCTGACCGAGCTGATCTGGATCTTCAGCTCGAGCTGCCCGAGCACATAGTAGCTGCCCAAGAGCTAATTCACGGAGGGGGGCATGCTAGGAAGACGCGCCGCCGAAAGTTCCAAGGGACGCGCCAGACGACGTGCCAGGGAACGTGCCATGGGGACGCACCGCGGGACGTGCCAAAGGGACGCGCTATAGAACGTGCCAATGGACGTGCCACGGGACGTGACAAGATACGCACCAAGCGAGGTGCCAAGGGACGTGCCACGGGGACGCACCGCGGGACGTGCCAAGGGGACGCGATACGGAACGTGCCAATGGACGTGCCACGGGACGTGCCAGGGGACGCGCCGCGCGACGTGCCAGGGGGGCTCGCCACAGGACGCGCCACGGAACGTGCCAAAGAACTTGCCAAGTTGCCATGCTGAATGTATCGATTTTGATGTACTGTGCCGAGGGCTGTGCTCTGCTGTGCCGTGCTGAATTGCGATGTGCCGCGTGACGATTGTGCTCTATAGCGTTGTGGATCGAGTCCTCCTTTGCAGCCGAGTCCTCACCGAACTGATCTGGATCTTCAGCTCGAGCTGCCTGAGCACATAGTAGCTGCCCAGGAGCTAATTCACGGGGGGGGCATGCTAGGAAGACGCGCCGCCGAAACTTCCGAGGGACGCGCCAGACGACGTGCCAGGGAACGTGCCATGGGGACGCACCGCGGGACGTGCCAAGAGGACGCGCTACGGAACGTGCCAATGGACGTGCCACGGGACGTGCCAGGGGACGCGCCGCGCGACGTGCCAGGGGGACTCGCCACAGGACGCGCCACGGAACGTGCCAAAGCACGTGCCAGGTTGCAATGCTGAGTGAGTGTATCGATCTTGATGTACCGTGCCGAAGGCTGTGCTGTGCTGCGCCGTGCTGAACTGCGATGTGCCATGCCGCGATTGTGCTCTATAGCGTTGTGGACCGAGTCCTCCTTTGCATCCGAGTCCTAACCGAACTGATCTGGATCTTAAGCTCGAGCTGCCTGAGCACATAGTCCACGTAGTAGCTGCCCCAGAGCTAATTGACAAGGAAACATGGCAGGAAGACGCGCCGCGGAACGTTCCAAGGGACGCGCCAGGCGACATGCCAGGGGACGTGCCGCGGGGACGCACCGCGGGATGTG